CGCTAGTGTAATTTTGACACAATGTAGCTATGAGTAAAACTGATTACGGAGGGGGAGGGGGGTGGTTAAAAATTGGCCAAAAAGTGATTACATAATATGTGAACGACCCCTAAGCATGCTGACACAGTTAGTTTTCTTACTGATTACAACCTTTCTGAAATCCTGGATATCCCATCTAAAGGATTTGGACAAAGTACATAGTACAGTTTAAGCTAAAACAAGGTAAGAACAGTAAGATCAGTGTAGCGACATACCAGCAGCGCTGTTACCCGTAACCCCCACAACAGTGAACACCACACACAACACACCAAACAGTATGTCTACAGAAGGGATTGTAAACTGGTTCTCCTGTAAATAGGAAATATGTGGCTAAATATTGCTATATATTGCTATATATTGCTATGTATTGCTATATATTATATTGCTACATATTATATTGCTATATATTGCTATATAATATATTGCTTTCTGTAGATTTCTTATAAGATTGACTATCAATTCGTTTCGGCGGTTGGAGATAAGTCTTACTTACGAAATATTATGGTAATCAGACCAACTTTCAATTTTCAAATAACATAGAAATTTGGTAAAGTATACGATTCACAGAGCCATAGTTTTACCAACCTTGCAGAAGTCCATTTTTTCGGATAAAATGTTTTCGAGGTTCTGAGTTGAGTTAAATGTTGTTGCCAAGGTATTTTGTTTACAGGGATTCTTTTTGTCCATTTTTAATCTTAATAATCATTTTTATCGAAAAAAGTAAATTTTAAAAATCTTCACTCATTCACTTTCGACAAAAACACTATACTTCAAGAATATATTAAAGTTAAAAGCCATTTCAGACGCAAATAAAATAGCATCGAAGAGAATTACTTTTACTACCGAAATATGCCAATATGGTCCTCCTATACACGCGTCAACGTGGCTCGTCTACCAAACCAAACTAGAAATATGCCATCACAAAATCAGATATTGATCTATTAGTGTTGGTCATTATCTTATTACAGACCCTCATCGAACTTTCCCTATGATAACATATGGTGCGTGATTGAAACAAATGATTCAAACTAATACATGATAATTTTAAGCAATGCTCTACGAACACAGGAGTAAAACCGACAATCAAAGAAGTAATGTTTGGACAAAAACCAAATGAAGTTGACAGATCCAGCTCCTGAACAATGTGAACGCAGTCAGGGATATCACGCGATCTGAGCACGGGTGTTGGACAGATGGTAGGTTAGCCTAACGTATAAGCCAGCTTCATCAGTGTATATAAAGGAACCAGAGGGAGGGGGGGACCAGGCTGAGCTTCAAGATAACTGTTATGTATAATCTAAAACCTACAACAAAACGAGTTTACACCCCCCTGGTCACAGTATACAAGATAAGAACACCTGGAGACTCGCTAGAAAATCTATTGACTTGTCAGTCACCTGCACGTCGGTTAAAATGAGAAGTCACAACTTTTTGATGACGTCACACTTGACACTGATGACGTCATAACACGTGCCATTATGAACTGAGACCTGGCTGTAATTGCAAAGACTTGTATCAGCTCCAATCAATAGTGTTGATCGTAAGGACGGCTAATACCGATACTGGTCACTGGATCCTAGCTCGAAGTTTTAAAAGCCATGTGGCCTGGTAATTAAATTGGACATAACTCACTAGCTGAAGTAGCTCTGATACATCGGATTAGAACCTGTAAGACTGGCCTCCAGCTCGCAATTTTTGAGATTCTAGCAAATCGAGGATGTTCAAAGGGTGCAGGATAATTAGCTCGACAAAATACCGATGGAAACTATTTCGTAGGCCCTAAAATGACTCCTCCAGATCCAGTCTTAACCTTAAATTGGACATAACTCACTAGCTGAAGTAGCTCTGATACATCGGATTAGAACCTGTAAGACTGGCCTCCAGCTCGCAATTTTTGAGATTCTAGCAAATCGAGGATTTTCAAAGGGTGCAGGATAATTAGCTCGACAAAATACCGATGGAAATTATTTCGTAGGCCCTAAAATGACTCCTCCAGATCCAGTCTTAAGCATTTATTTTTAAATGTAATAGTGATTATTCTGTATTCAACTAGCTTACAGCACCAATAAATCAAATTCCTGTACCGCTGTCTCCATGCTCCAGTGATCAATGAGTCCCCTAGCCAAAAGCAATACTCCATGTCCATGGCTAAAAGTGTGGTAATTACAGCCAGATTTCTGTTTTGAATTTCAAAAGGAAATCTACTAAATGATTGATAAATCCCAGCACCGGCCAAAAATCCCGGCACCGGCCGAAATTGGCGCCAGGACGCGACCGAGAGATGGCCAAAATTCTGCACCCAGTCGATCACTGGCTGTCAGTTGTCAAAATAAACTTTAACACCTCCCTGCTTGTACCTACATCTATTTTTGAACTTTCAAGATCCATAAAATGGATAAACCAATAGTGCCATGAGAACTGAGAAGTGCTTCTTTTGAGTGTCGATCGAACCGAACGATGATACTATTTGAACCTAATTCGTTGACCAGAACAGAGACAGAGAGAGAACCTAATTCACAATTCGAAACCCAACGACTAATCGGTGACATTGCAACGGTCTATTAAGTTCTACACCACTGTTTCCTAGCCCCTGCAACGTCAGAGATATCATATCACCATAGAAAATAGCACATTATATTGAGTAATGAAGACTGTCAGGATGTTCAAAAAGTTTTCGATCAGTGTCAAATTCAGATCGGTAGCAGCTGGTCGAGCTGTTCTCGATATGGTGGTGATGATTCTCGGGCTTTCGGCGTTTTAAACGGTGCAAATCGTAAGGGCTGTCATGAAATATGTTGAGGGCTATAAGAGTTGGAACTTAATGTTGGGTCTGTTCAGGTTTTTTTTGTCGTTATGGTTACGATTAAAGACACCTACTATTATTCACATTTTATGGTTCATCCCTATGGTCTCCCTAAACTCAAATAGTGAGCATTGAATATGAAGTTACCAAATTAATCTTAAATCACTGACATGACGCTGTAACCTATTGTCCAATTCTTTGAAATTTAAAGACAAATAGTGCAGTTAAGTTTTGCAAGGAAACAATGAGGTTCGGATTTTTTAAAAAGCATTCTGTTAGCCCATTTCCCAACCACAGGGTGACAACACAAACATCACAGCCATATCATTAATCAAGGTGGTATTTTCAGGTTGATATTGGTACGTTATCAAGGTAAGGTTAACTGTTGCTTTGTCTCCTATCAGAGACAGAGAGAGAGGGAGAGACTAGAGAGAGAGGGAGACAGAGAGACAGAGAGAGAGGGAGAGAGCTGGGTTAGTGGAGAGCTTGCGGCCGGTTTGTTTTAATTTCCTAATTACAACTCATGGCTTCACCAGAATGTTCATCCAATTTCATAACAGTTTGCTTGTAAGTAACGTAGGAACTAGCTTGACCAGGAGTTGTGATTAATACTGTTAGTATATTGGTGACACAATTTGTTACTTTTGATATTACGATGTATGTATTCCGATAAAAAGAGGCCTTAGGTTGACGAATAAGATGATCTTAAAGCCGAGATAGCATCATTATCATACAATAGAAGTAAACGGAATGGCAAGATGTTATTTCGTTCCAATTGAATGTAGAGCAATTAAATAAAAGAGAAACTAATGCTGGTTAAAGTGCGGCTGGTTAAACTTAAAGTGTTATGCGGCTGCCAGAGAGATTCTGAGTGTGTGGGAGCGGCTGGTGCCAGCTAATTTAATCATCTCTGACAGGATTAATTGGAAAATACAATAACCTTCTTGTTAACAAAATGTAGACCGAGATGATACCATCATATGCTAGTGACAATTATATTAAGTTATTATGAGCCCGATTTTAAATCTTATGAAGACATTTTGTTACTGTAAAATGTGGCACAGTGCATTTTATCACACCACTTCACCGAATTTCACTGCACTTTACTGCACTTTACTGCTCACTGGAAATTGACTGTATGATTCGTGACAGATAACTATTATTACGTAAAAATGATCTGCCAGATTTTTCATAAAATTATCAGCCGTAACTAAAATTTGATTCCAGGCAATTTATCCAACAATTTACTACATAACTGCATGGAATGAGTGCAATTACTTCAATGTCGAGTCTTTTTAAAGTTGGTACTGTTAAAGCTCATGATGTGTGGAGGTTCTGGAAACAAATAACTTAATCGGTTTCAGATGTGGTTCCACTATCTTTCATTTACATTCAACAGTTTCATTACATGTACGTTCCTCAGTCGATCCTCTGACCGTGCCCAACATGAATTCCTTCCGTTATCATCCCAACAAGCTGTTATAATCGCTTGGAGCTGTCATTAATCAGTGCAGGCTGCTGCAAAATATGTTGCAAAATCAAATTATTTGAGATGATTTGGAAGATTTCTTCAACTTCAGGATCCGGGGTTAATTTCCAGTGTGATTCAGATCATGATATATTACAAAATTAGTGTATAGATTAGTACTGGTACAGATTAAATACAGCAGACCGATTATAATATACGGAGATAATCATTAACTTTTTCAAATGGATATTGAATAATACTGCCAATTATTACTCATGAGATATTAAAAATGTCGAAATAAGTCAGACTGCATCGCTCTGCTAAAATGGCGACATTCATGAAATCGTTATTATTTCCATTGTATAAATGATATTCATATAAAGATTTTGATAAACTTTAAAATGTACCGTACATGCGTGCCACTAAGAAGCTCTCATACATGAAGACTATAAAAATCAAAGTATTAACATATATGGAATATGTTTAAGATGGCATCTAGAAATAATATTACATCTCTAATGGGCCGTCAAATCTTCCCTTCATCTCTTAGACGCGACGAACTTAATCAATGCGATTAAAAAAGCCTCCCCCAATCAGACCAACCCCCAAATCTTGAACAACCAATCCACAGCTTGTATCCCTTCCCGGTTAAAAAGTTAATCACAATCATCACGCCACCTTGTAATGATCACTGAGAGACCCACCGTCAAGTATGTGTATGTAGTCTGAGTCTCCAGATCGTGCTATAGTTTTTAACTTTTGTTTTTAACCCCCTGTGGCCGACTTGAGAAGTGCATTATAACATGCGAGTATTGTGTGTTTTATTGGCTGCTCTCCTTCTTTTCTCGTTATGCCACTGCAGGAGGGTGAGTTTTTGATTAACTTTTGTCGCCCCTGCATTTATTAATTTAACTGTGGCCTTTTATTGTTGGTAGGGTAAATATTATGAACTGTTGACGATATTTTTGCCATCCTAGTCGGGTAAACTTACAATAAACCTGGTTTTTGCCTAAAAGACAATATGTAAAACTTGGCAGTCTGATACTGTAATAGAGGAGGGCTCAGATCAGGGCGAGATATAATTTTTCAGAGACGCTGCCCGACCCATCATTTCATCAGGCCAGCGTAGGGGGTGCATACCCGTACAAAATGTAATATTGCCAATTACCAACAAGAACACTAGTTGACACTAAAGCTGATAGAACCCAAATGTGCAAAGTTTCCAAATGTACAATATAAACTAAAATACTCTTATCGGACTAAATAAATGATAACAAACATGTAGAGTGCAGGTGGATTGTCATGGGCATACATTCCAAAACTAACTTTACAATTACATGTAATTGTGACTTCATGTCACTTCGTCTTCATCAACCATTGTGATTCTCAATGGCGTATCCTGTCTGACCCCTAACGACATAGGGTGGTCTCCTGAATAGTATAATTATAGACAAAGCAGGCGGAGAACTAGCTGAAATCAAACCATATCTCCATATTAAACGTATCTTAGAGACCTTGAACTGTTAACTAACTGGAACCAGCTGATTATAAGGCTACAAGTTGAAGTACATAGCAGGGGTCCCACGAATTGTATAACCAACACACAGCGATCACGCTCTGATTAAAGTCTAAGTCGTTATATTTAAGTATTTATGAATTGTTGGAATTTCCCAGGTGAGCTGTCGGCGGATGTCCTGGAGAGAGCGGTGTAGGAAAATAAAGAAATGTGAACGGAAACTACCAAACTTGGAGGAGAAATGTGATATACGTTTCAAACGAAACGTATTGAGACAGATTCTTCCAGCTGACGAATTTGATTTGGATTTCGATGTGATCCTCGACGATTACGTTAATAACTTTAGTAGAAGCGACATGATTGAATTGTTCTCGGCAAAGATATTGTCAGGTACAGTATTTTGTAAGGTATTGTAATTTGTAGTACAATATATATCACAGTGACCAAACTCTTGGATCGTAAATTATGAATACAGTTCATATATTATAGTGTAACTTTTAATTCTGTCAATTTCGCAAGCAGTCATGACGCATAAATGAGGATTGAGGTTAAAACTAACTTTTGTTTGGAGCAATTTTCACCAGTTACTATTTTTTATTCACGAGCATCCCTAGCATCAGTTAAAAGAACTATTTGTTTAGAGCCATTCTCAATGCTCCCAGTTCGACAAGCATAACTAAAAAATGCTTTTAATCATATTAATTTTGATCACTTAATTTGGCTTGTTTCACAAGCAGTCATAAACTTAGCTGGAATTTTCAGCTCTTACTTGACGACTAACAATATGCTATAACCCTGCGCCAATAAACCACACTAATAGCCACTCAAACTGAGCTTTAATCACACTTTTTTGTTATAAGATAATACATACTCACACATCCACCCTTAAACCTGCTCCCACCCCCAGGTCCGATAAACACAACAGCTGCTGTGGGAGGGGTGGCAATATTCACGTGCACTGTGGAGGGTAACCCGGCACCCCTGACTGCCATCTCCCCAGTGATAGCTAGTGAGGTGTCCAGTAACTTTATCAGCGAGATGAGCCAGAATAACGGGGTTGTTAGCAGAGTTAATGTCACTAATATCATTAGGTAATTAACTCAATTTACTCAATTAACTCAATTAACTATTTCATCATATACATTTTTTGGAGATCTACACAAATGTCTCTTTCGTCATTTTTAAAATCAGTCCCTGAAGGAATAACATCCCTAATTGTATTGATGATCCCACAAGGTCCAGATAATATCGTCCCTAAAATAAAGTCTCAATATCGTCACTTCCTCAGTCAGATAACGAAACTAGACGAAGGGTGGTACAGGTGTGGGACTAGTAACCTATACGGTAGTGAGACTAGGGACGCGTACCTGACAGTAATAGACCCTTGTGAAGGGGTGGAGTGTGGTGGGAGGGATATGAAGTGTGTGGTGAACTATGACACCCTCTCTGCGGAGTGTCAGTGTAGAGACTATTGTCAGGTACTCTTACTAGTAAAGTTGGGGGGGGGGGACCGGGGGGGGGGGGTCTCTTACTAGAACATAGTTTTTATTGGTGGGGGGGGGGCGGGTCTCTTACTAAAACAGAGTTTTTATTGGTGGGGGGGGTCTCTTACTAGAACATAGTTTTTATTGGTGGAGGGGTTCTCTTAAAAAAGCAGGGTTCATAACAAGTCACTTGACAATTGTTATTACACAACAATAAAGACAAAGCATTCAGTTATTTTCACTTCATTACAAACGTCCTACTCCACCTCTTTTCCTCAGGAGAAGGGTGATTTCTTGCCATCCCCACTATGTGGGTCTGATTGCAGGACCCACTTCAACCTCTGCTCTCTTCAACAAACCTCCTGTATTGACCAGCTAGAGATAGGGGTTCTCTACGAGGGGAGATGTGAGGCTGGTATTGGTGACATTACAGTGGAGGTTGCTGGATATCCTGGTCCTCTCCTCTACTACTCTGGTGATGTGATAGAGTTGGAGTGTGACGTCACAGGCACCTCTGTTGCTCATATATCGTGGTATAAAGTGTACCAGAGTAGCTCTGGTAACTATGGTGACTCTGGAGATCATGGTAACCGTGGTGACAATAGATTTATTGTGGGAAGAGGAAAAACTCTCACTCTGAATAGAGCTCTGGTTGATGACAGTGCGATGTATCAGTGTAGTGTCACCAACTGTTCCAGCAATGTGGTGTTCTCTCAGACTGTTGAGTTAGTCATTCTGGAAAGGTTCCAAGCCTTGACCGCCTCTAAAACCGGTACTTAAAGTTTTTATCCTTATTAAAGTTTGTAAACAAATCGTCTAGAATCTCAAAAACCCTTTATAGGTTTCAACCATATCAAGATTCCCGTTTTTTGTATAATTTGGAACACTATTATAACTAAATTAAGATCCCTGAAGTTGTGCCTGACCACCAATCTGCCAGGTCCAGTATGTTCAGTGTTCAGCGGCTCCAGAGTCATAACATTTGACAGCAGCTCCTACTCCATCACCTCTGCTTGTGACTACGTATTAGCCATGGACTGTGTCATGGCCTCCTGGTTGATCTACGGTCGTACAACACGCTGTGGAGACACTGGAGCCTGTCTGGAGAGTGTAACTATTTACTCTGGTTGGGATGTGGTTACTTTAATGAGGGGTTGGGTGGTTGTTAAAGGCAGGGCGGGACGGAAAGTAGCTCTGACTCAGGGCAAGGAGATAGTGGTGGGCAAGTTTTCAGTGCTGTTTGATGGATTACATGTGACCCTGATTTTAGCTGATCAGGTGACTCTCACGTGGGATGGGATATCTGCTGCTTACATTCAACTCTCTAACAAACTCACACCAACCTGTGGTATTTGTGGGGACGAAGAGAGTAACCATGACGACAAGACCATCATGAGGAACCGGCAGCAGTGGAACAAGGATGAAACTAACGTTGACTTGTTTGCTAAGAGCTGGAGAGTGGATTCCAGAGGTCTCTGTCGGGACTCTGCTCTTCTAACTACAGATCCAGACAAAGAACCAGATACCAACCCCTGCGAGGACATCTTCAACAGTCCGGTGCTCTCCAAATGTAGACGTCACTACCCTGTAGACAGCTACATAACCGAGTGTAAGAAGGAGGTGAGACTGAAGAGTCACGTGCTAGGAGACACTGTTCCTGTTCAGTGTTACTTAGGGGTGAAGTTTCTAGAAATGTGCTCACTAGTACTGAATATCAAGGTTCCTGCTACTTTGTACGAGTTGGGGTGTCCTTCTACCCGCTTTCTTCAGCAGTATGCTGTTTCTATTGGATGTCCACAGAAAATACTACCGTTTGATGACTAAAGTCCGTGCAAACAGCGATGATGTTATTTGTGTAGCGATTAGAAACTGGGATGGTACTAGAGTTGAGTACAATAATTTGTTTTTGATGAAGCTGACTCTTGGTGCGAAGAAGAATTTTATTAAAATTTTAAAACATTTGTGACGAACTTTCCTTTGAGTTATTAAAATTTAAAACTATTTGTCAATGTATTTTCCAAAAATTTGCGGAGGCGAAACATTTTATTCCTTTGCGAACTGTTACCGAACCACAATTTGAAATTTTTGGACAGATGTTTGCATTTTCACTTTGTACGATATGTTACTCAGTCCAAATTTTTGACAACTTTGCGCGAGCATCGACCGATGACAATCACAAATTTTCCTATGAGTATGACATCCATCATCACAAACCGAAAAGAAAACTGGAAACATATCACTATGAGTATGAACGGCAGTGCTAATTGGATACCTTGTCAGTTGTCAAGGAGTGAAGGCAGCACCAGGTGCTACCAAATAGTTTACTTATCGTGATGGAAGGCTAGTTATCACTAAATTAAGATACGCGTCTCTATGTCTCGGTTACCAATTGGAGCAGACGGAAATTGAAACTGTAGTCTCCTGTTCCATGAACCGTTTTACAACAGTCCTGTATTCGCGCTTCAATTTAATATCACTTCCTGACTTCATAAAACCTGGAGGTGATCAAGAGAGCTGAGAGAATGGGAGTTAGTCGTTTTATCTGAGTTACTTAAACGTGCTACAATTAATGCAGAATGCAGATCTACTCTGTCATTGACTTCTGGTGTGGAATAACAGAGTTATTATCCCTGTTCGTGGTTATTGGTCACGTGGTACAGTAGTTATATTAGTACAGATACCGATACTGTAACTATTAGTGGACCACGGGATCTGGATGGACCCGAGTTTTCCTATTTATAACACAAAATTTATCCGTCAAATCCGAGTCGAAACCATTCGAATTTTTAAAATTTATCTTGAAGACTTCGCGAAGGATTCTTAAATCAGCGGTCTCATCCATCGAATGGCATTTTTAATTTTCTGCACTCTGCAGCCTCGTGAATCTCAAATCTGTTCACGGTACATCGAGAGTTGCTCTGCATTAAAAAAAATCGTATATATCTGTTGTTAAGGAATAATTTTTTATTCTTATTGTTTGCAGTCATATTAAAATTATTCAAAAAATGAAAATGTAATAAAATCTGAGAGACAAAATGATAATTTCTTTTAATTCCACAACAAAAGATTTGACGAATATTCGAGACAAGACAGTCTAACTGCTAACATAAAAACGGTTTCTTTAAACATGGAGATTTATGACGCATAATGATCATGAATGAGTTTTATGTGCTTGCATATCAGCAAAAAACACTTAAAATGCTCTCATGGTCAAACATTATAAAAACAAAATTCAATCTATAAAATTAAATTCTAGCTACCCCGACTACGAACCTGGGTCGAGTTTAGCACACTTAGGACGCGCTTTTTCGTGGAAGTAGGCGATATCCTTCTCGCAAGTTATCACCATGCTGCCCAGTAACGTGTACTCAGGATCACATGCCACTGTGATCGCAGTCCCGTACGTGATAGGATATCCAGCATTAGTTGATAGATAGTTTTCTATCATCATACCCGTACAGTGATCTGAAGCCGAAGGTTCTACATTGAGTTGTCTTCTGTTATGAATATTAACATGAAACTTGTTTTATAAAGTTTTTCAGCTAACTTAACTTTTGAATTTTGACGAACAAACAACAAAAATATTTGAAAAATTTGATAAGTTTAAAAATATGATCGTGCTTCAATACTAAAATCAACCCACGGAGAGCTGCAAACCTATGGTACAAGTTGGAAGTTGACCGATTGTGAAGGAAATGTCCCTGATACAAGTGATGGTATTGTCTCCGGCGAGAGTGTGTCCCGGCTTGCAGTTCACTTCCACCACAGTTCCTACTATGACGGGGAAGGTGGTGGTTGTTGTCATGTCTGATACAGCTGCTGGTAGTTCTGTGCATGTGTCTGCGGTAAATAAGTGACGTTGTTAAAATACTTCCTCTACTAGATAAACCCAACTGCTGTTTTATCTTAACAAGTTCAACCAAACAGCCACGGTAACACGAAATTTTCCGATATTTTATATTTACAGTTTACTAATTACTTAAAAGTACTATTTCCCCGATTTATTCTTCAAAATGTTCAATATTCTATAACACTCAGTACTCGCCTAAAACACAGCTAGGAGTTGTCTCATACTTCCAGTTATCATCCTTGATGCAGGTGATTTGTGTGCTCCCTGATATGCTGTAACTCGGGATACAGTCCACTTCCACTCTAGTTCCATAGTACGTAGGTAGTGAGGTAGTGGTCATCAGGTCGAAAATGTTTTTTGGGAGACTTGTACACGTGTCTGAATATGTGAGCCGTCAACTTAGTAGGAAAATAACGGTTTTGTACCAGCCGTCTTCTCAAGATCATACGATAAACAATAAAATCTAGGTATCTGTAAAGGTCACTGCTGCAACGCTTTTTACGGTTATTTCGTTTTTGAGATTTATTTTTTTATAGTACGTATGCTTGCGAAATCAATGTCGATTTTTAAAATTGTTATAGCTCTTGTGGTATACTGCAAGTGGAATTGAAATCGATTGATTATCAAACTTATAGTTATAAGTTAGTAAGTTCGTTCACCATTCACATCGGGCATGAAATGGCTTTAAAATGATTACCTGGGGACCCCAAGCTATTATGTTCATAGAGATTCGGCGGAATGACAGGCTGAGCACCGCCCAGTAATAAAATGACAAGTAGAAGTAGTTCAATTATAATGATCCAGTGCAGTGGTTCGTGAAATATATTCCGGGAAGTACTAATTATACTGTTAAACCAGATATTGTCGCGGGCACTCATTTTCGTGGATTTTCAAAATTAGATCATTTTTGTGTGTTGTGGATTAAATTTTCTGAATTCAAATGATTTAATGGAGGAAATAAATTCCTCGCAATATTTTAATTCAAAGTATTAGTAGTATTAGCTTTAGCTTTAGAGTTAGCTTAAGTATATATGTGGATTCTGGTAGGGAGGTGAAGCATCCGCATATTACTTTTAGTTTGACCTCGATTAAGGTCTGACTGGGTGCACTAAGAAAAGAAAAAAAAGAAAGTATTACCTATGTGAGTTCTAGAATAAACCTCCACCTCGCAGAGTGTCAAAACCCCGGCATTGTTAGAGCCACCTACAATGGTAACAGTTGGTGTTGTTACCGCACCACAGTTGATATGGTAAGGATTAGTTCCTCCTTTGTATTTTATTGTTCCGCATAGAACTTCGCCAAGATGAACCTGTGAACGAGTTTTAACCTTTATGTGGTGGTGGTGCTAATATTGGTTGTGTTAAAATTAAAAACGCCTTTTTTGGACATTTATAAATAGACAATTCAAATATCGATAATTCAAAAAGATGATATCACAGTGCTGGCAAGCACGACCGTTGCATTTATTGTGGGTATACTATGTTCCCCATTTACTATTATACCCCCTTTACTATTATACCCCCTTTACTATTATACCCCTTTTACTATTATACCCCCTTTGGTACACGTTACAAGCCTCTTTTGTGCACGCGAAGCGTGCACTCCGGCCGGAGGCGGCGGCCGAAGGCCGCCGCCTCCGGCAGGAGTTTTCCAGGCATTAAAACTCATCGGAAGTCGTTCAGCAGATTTATTTTTAGTTCAAAACATTCTAATTTGATGTCAAAGATGACAGGAATAAAAAATAGTTATGTTTAGATTTTTAAGAAATTTGCATAAAATACTCGCCAGCACTGTTATACGAAATTCGGTAAAAAACCCAAAATCGCCATATTCAGGTGCCCTAAAAACCATGTTAAAATTGAGTTAGAGATCTGAAATTTTTCAGGGCGTCTAGACGTTGACCAAATTGACTGCAAAAAAAGTTTCAGGTTTCAGGAGCATCGAGAAACGGGTTTTCTTGAACCCCTGTTTTACGACAGATTGTCGGGACATATACATACAGATATACATATATTATATATATTCAGGGATAGACGCTTTGCCAGTCAATTGTAGCCTGTATTTAAGTGTCCATAGATTCAAAAGTAAAAAAGATACAGCCATTTCCGACCACAGGTCTTGCAAATAATTGTTTACACTTTAGTTTACATTGTATAAAAAATGTATTTGACGTCATAAACACCCCTTGATGACGTCATCAAGTTAACCGTTTTTAAAACTTGATTTTTGACAAAGTAATAACTTTTAAAATTAATTTTAACCCATTAAGGAGTAATTTTATTCAAAATTTGAGGAAATTTTTACCTTAGATAATTGTTCAAGCATTCTGAAAATCTACCGGAAAGTTTTTCTAGCTTGCTCCTTCATAAAGATATTCGTCATTGAAGTTTGTGCTTTTTTGAAGAATTATTTTATAAAAACGTCAATTTTGCGATTTAGTATTCTTTGGTGTTGGGCCATGCCTTGGGTTGTGGAGCTCAGTTCTGCTTCCTATAGGTATAAATTGTGCATTAGGCTAGTTTTAAAGTTGAAAATCAAAAAGTTGCACACGTGGGGACACGCCCAAATTGATAGAAAATTGCTAAAATCACTGAAAATTGCTGTTTTCGTCATTTTCTGTCAACTTTAGAGTGCCGTTGTGATTACAGTTCTTCTTGAAATACTTTGAAACTTTGCATGCTTATCAAGCTATATATAAAACAATTACATGAAAAAATTTACGGCGATTCAATATTGGATGCGCATGCAACGTCCGCTCAAAGTTTGCAGGTGCGAAAGGTGAGAATTTTGCTCATTCGTGATTTCCAACAAATTCTGCTTTGCCACGACAGTTTAATGTCATTATATATGAATTTAATGTCAACTTGAATGAGTATTAAGTGGTATATTCAGTCAGTGATGGACCGATATGCTTACCTAAACACAAGGAAATGTTTTTAAAGGAAAAATTTCGAAATCGTTGAAACTTCCTCCTTATTATAATGAAGATATCAGTTTATATTTCGACTTTATAAAGTACCCTGACATTATAATCAAAAAGAGATGATATTTTACCAAAACCCATAATCATGGGTAGAGTGGACCGCTGCCAGTGTCTCTCTTTCCCAAACAAAAGGAAATGATATTAATTTGATTGACCGTTCTCAAATGCAAAATGATACCGAGAATGAAATCGGTCGCTCGCTTTTCCCATTCATTTACAATTGTAATAGATTAAGAAGAACTACCCAAAGGCAGCTGTAC